AAAAAAAAAAAAGGTGTGAGTGTGTGGAGGGAGGAGGGGGACCTGGCTGAAGAAGGCCGGAAGTTTAGAATTTCTGTTGTTCTACCTTATCTCCATATTTGGAAGGAAAAAATCATTTTCCAGAGTTTATGACCAAGTTAACATAGCCTGGGAACCTGCAATGTCTGGTGAATGGACAGCTACTGAGAAAGCAAAAATATCAACTACCTCTGGAAAAGTAAAAATCAGACTGGCCATTCACTATGCTGGGATATGTTAAAAGGTAAGTTGAAGCAGACTTTTAAAAATTAAGAGTTTCTTTGAGCAAAAAATCAGTTTGAACCAGGCAGCATCCAATCTAGCAGATAGAAAGGCACTCTTGGGAGCTGTACAAAATAAAAGACTTTTTTTAGGCTGAAGGGAACAGGAACAAGAAAGTTATACTAGCAAAAAAGTGGGTTCTTTGTTGCAGTTACTTTCCTTTAAGGGATGGCAGGGATCTATCTATCAGGCACAATACCTGACTAGGGCTGATCAGGTGATTCCTGGTTGACTGATTTAAGATTCTGTTTCTGGGAGAGAGGAAACTAACGGGGAGGAAGAATTTCCTCTGCCCTTTAAGGTCCTAGTTCTAGCTAGATCAGAATCATATTTTTTTAAATATGAAATTTATTGTCAAATTGGTTTCCATACAACACCCAGTGCTCATCCCAACAGGTGCCCTCCTCAATAGCCATCACCCACCCACCGCTCCCTCCGACCCCCCATCAACTCTCAGTTTATTCTCAATTTTTAGGAGTTTCTTATGGTTTGGCTTTCTCCCTCTCTAACTTTTTTTTTTCCTTCCCCTCCCCCATGGTCTTCTGTTTCTCAGGATCCACATAACAGTGAAAACTGGTTAGATCAGAATCATATGGACATGAGATAGATTAACAGAGGAAAATCAAGTTTAATAGCATACATAAGGGGAATCAAAATCAAATTTAATAGCATTCAATGGGGAATCCACACAGACATTGAAATTCCAAAGATAGGCAACATGATGCTTATATGAGTTAAGGAGAGGGGTAGGGGTCTGAGGATACAAAAGGAGAGATATCATGAACAGGAAAGTGAAAGGAGATGTTTGGAAAACAAAGATACCCTGTTATTCAGATAAGTTTCTCAGGTAAAGAGGAATTTCTATTAATAGCTCTCTTCCTGGTAAAGCAAGCAGTTGAGGGGGAGGTAAAGAACTTTTTCTGACTCTGCTGGGTTTGGATTATTTTTAACTCAAAATAATGTTCATGCCAAAGTTGGCCCATCTAAGGGTGGCCTTCCCTTGTCCTCTACAGTGATTAGGTCTCAGTTTGGTGAAGTGGGGCTTAGCATAAGTGACTCCATTTTGGATCTGTTGTCTTGTTTTTTAACAGGTAACAAACACAGATAAGAGACAGAACCAGATGCAAAGGTGAAGGAAACAATATTTCTCCCAAGGTCAGGCTGCAGCTGTGAAGTATCATCACAATCCCTTTGACCACTACATTCTTACTTAAAATCCTTCTTCTCTAAAATCATAACTGTCAGAAAGTGTGCTCTTTAAAATCCTATCAGTAAGAATGAAACATCCTATCCGTCCTATTCTGTATGATGTAAGTCAGTTTCACACAAAGAAGCAGCCTTTATTTCCAACGTAGGTAAAAGCTTCAGATGAGGGATTCCTGAACACATTCCACATCGATCTTAACTTTATCAATTCCAAGGAATAGGCCCCTGGATCCCCTTTGCAGTTCCACTTCATGTTGACCCCTTTACACACAGCTCTTTCCTGCTTTGAGCCTCCCCAAATGTTGCTTTATTGCTTTATTTACATTTCACCTAACCTCTACCCTTCCCCAAATCTGATAAGAACCCCATGTCTCCCCTTAGTTGATGAGACATTTCTCAGGTTTCCTCTGGTGTGCAGTCTCCTTCATTACAAGGAACCAGTTATTCTAATTTTGTCTTTCTACAGTTTTGTCCCTGCCAGTTGAATCTGATTAGGCTAGGATAGCAGCCAGGAGTGATGATTGAGGGGATTTGCAGCCCAGAAGCGGTTATCAGTCTAGCAAAGGCAATATTGTGTCCCCAGTGTTCAGTAATTTCTTGAAAACTAGTTCATTAAGGTTTATAAGGAATCCTAAATGGACACCACCACATTTCAAAACATAACCACATCAATTCAAAGCTTTCTTTAATCATCTGGCCTTGTCAAGAATATGTAACGGTCTCGTATGGAGATACGTTGATCATTTCTTGTCCCCATCCTCTGTGTCTCATACTAGACTCTAGACAGCTCTCTTTGCACATAAACTTCATGTACTTCCTACTAATGGAACCTGAATTATTGCACTCAAAATAAGCCATGACTGTGACAGGAAGGAAAAAAATTGCCTCCACCCTCAAGGTTCTCCAGCAGGACTAAGAATTAAATTTACATGAGACAAATTAACAGGAGAAAAAAACCCACAAAGTTTTATTATGTGTACACGAAGGTCCAGTTACAAAATTGAGACCTGAAGAAATGACCAAAGTAGGGTTTTTGAACACTTTTAGACAAAGAGATGATACATTTATTTAAAAAATTTTTCTAACGTTTATTTTTGAGAGAGAGACAGAGCATGAGAGGGGGAGGTGCAGAGAGAGAGGGAGACACAGAATCCAAAGCAGGCTCCAGGCTCCGAGCTATCAGCACAGAGCCGGACGCGGGGCTCAAACTTACTAACCGTGAGATCGTGACCTGAGCTGAAGTTGGATGCTTAACTAACTGAGCCACCCAGGCACCCCAAGAG